GCCATTTTGAAAAACTATTTCAAACTTAAAGTCAAGTTCTACTGGGCCGATTGAACTGAAACTTTGTAGGAATGATCGACTCATGGTCCTGACAAAGTGTTGTTATTTTTCGGGTCGATCAGAAATTCAATATGGCCGCCACGGCCGCCATTTTGAAAAAAGTATTTCAAACTTAAAAACAAGTTCTAATAGGCCGATTTAACTGAAACTCGGTCTAGGATTGATCAGCTCATGGTCCTGACAAACTTAAGTTAACTTTATACTTAACTATTTTGTACTCAAATTGGTACATATTTCAACAACAAAACTAAATACTGTAGGACTCAGGTGACTGTTTAGACCAATGGGCCTCTTGTTAAATATAAACGAGATCAAACGAACAAGAGGTCATAGTTATCGACTTGAAAAGGGAATGTCTAAATTAAACTTAAGAAAGTACTCCTCTCGAGAAAGAGTGGTCAACCATTGGAATTCCCTGCCAAATCACGTTGTCACATCACCAACAATAAAAGCGTTTGAATAACCAGAATGTTTTAATAAATATGAACGTATTAACTGTCCGGGCGTCAGCTGACCATACATATGATCTGGATATATATAGGCTTTTACCTGCGTCCAGTATTATTATATTATTAACTGAAGGGGATGCAATGGGGCTGGGCTGAGCTATCTTGTCAATAGCAGTACATTGGCCTTGTTGCGCTAAAGTTATATCCAAAACAAATTGATGGATTACCGTATTTACGAAAAAAACTACAGTGGAAATATCAAATGTATAGCCTGCCGAAGGGTTCCTTCACCTGAAGTATCGGCATACGAGGAAAAGCTGTGAATAATCTGAAATGTACAATCGAGAGACTGATGTAGCAGAGATTGTGGCTAAATAGAACTGAAACAAATATTACAACCATACACACAATTATAAAGCTGAATATTAATTGAAATGTGTATATATGTTTACAAATGCATACCGTGGTACATATTTTAAAGTTAAGTATCGTTATGAAAATATTACTGCAGCAGCTGTTGCTGATGCTGATGTGAGATATGATTAGGCCAGTTCTTGAACTTCTAAAACAATACAACAAAATAAATAACAATCAGACGATCCGGGTATATAGTACAATGGTCTATTTTCCTTGATGCATATTCCAATTGAAACGCAAGGCTTCGCAGTTCTATACCAGGGAAGCTGTTAACGCTATAATCAATGCGATGAGAGAAGCTGGATTCGTTCCTAGTCCCACCAATCAGAAATAGTCTTAAACAAAAGTACAGTTTTAAAAACACCTTAGCAGATATTTAACCTTTCAATGGAATATTGAAAAGCCAAATAGAATAGATTGTGTGATAAAACAGAAATGTGGATTAATTGTTGTTTGACTAAGTTGATTTGTTGTATTGCAGTGTTACTATGCCAGTTCATATATTGCGTTACCTAGTCACCCAAACGAGTTTGGGACTTTTTGATTGGTGTTTTGCTGCCTTTCTGATTAGCATATCTTCTTTTTTTTCTTCTTACTTTTCTTCGGGCCAGATGCTTTCCGGACGTTTCCTCAAAGACTATCTGCCGGATACTGATGAGTATTGGTGGGTATAGCAGATGTACGTAACACATTTCATTTTCTAATCGGTTATCAAACATGGCCGTCGTTGTCTCTGATTTACACATTTGTACGTGTACGCCAAGGTGATGGCAATGGTCCATCTGTATGTCTGATTTTGCTCAAACTTGGTTTGTATGTATCATTGAGTTGCAAACTCTTTCCAGTTCATCATTTGCGACTAAGGGGTCAGTTTTGGGGACTTTGTAACGGTCCGCATTACAATAAGACTTTGTTGTTAATGTCGTATCATTATAATAGCGGAGACGAAAATCGTCATATATCATATAGAGTTTAATGTAAAACATGAAGCATAAAGAAATTGAAACTGCATCGTTGACTATAAGTATGGCAGGCAGATACTCGGAATTGAAATCTTGAAATTCTTTCTTGGAATAAAAAAAAAAAAAGGAAAAAAGACATATTTCATCAAAATCTGTTTGATATATTCAGCTAATTCGTTGTACTATTGCGACCTATGATGTCGTAATTGTATAAAGCATCATTGAAATATTTCAAATAGCACATTTTACCGGCTTCTGTAGTTGGNCCTATTATAACTGTATCAAATTTCAAATTCACATCTCCAATATTTTAGAAGCGTTTTAAAAGTGTCGAAAAGGTATGCTAAGTGATTGCTACATGTGTGCCACATTTGTGTTCAGTCCCCAATGCATAACGTAAGTGCAGACAAATTCGTCACATTAGTAAGGGTTTCAGTTAATAATTTGTCCAAATACACATGTATCAAAATGCCGACGACGAGCACCAGTACAGAAGAAGATTTGACTGAAATGCCTATAGATAAACATTGTTGTAAACACGCATGAATGACGTCACACAGCAACATTTGTGACATCATCAGGCCGTCCATGGTTTTGCTCAAAAATGCAGGCAGTTTTGCCACCATCAAACATTTCACTAATTTGCAAATAATGTAAGTGTTTAAATGTAACATTTTACATGTTGATGTTAAACAAGTTGTACTGATACGAACAGCTCTAAATGTGTGTGTGTAACATTATGATTAACATTCAAATAAATGTTTTTTCCTAGTTGTGATAGTTTAATGCTGTTTGAGTAAGATGGCTGGGATCAGCCTAGATGAGGTCAATTTACAAGCATCGCAATAAAAACACAGTCCTGAACAAATAAAAACTTCCAAATTGGTGCCCATCGTACAGCCATCATGCGATATTGTACAACAATGATTTCAGGCCGACAACAAATTATTTTCAAATATAAATCTAGAACATTTCTTGATGGTGTTTTAATTAAATTAATTTAATGTTGGCTGAATGCTAGACGCAAACAACATTGAATGAAGATGGAAAATGAATCATTAAATCTTTCCGAGCGTCATTTCCATAAACAAACATTGGGTTGTCAGTACATTGTATGTCCCAAAGTACACTTGCCAATTTTTTTTTTACTTGCATTGACGGCTTTGTTGACCATAAAACTGCAATTACCGTTGAGATATCGGTATTTTCAATTTGTATGTTATGCATTTACACTAAATCACAACCAATAAGCCTCAGATTAATGAGTTTAGTTGACGAGATGTCCGTCGCACAAACCTAATTTTTAAGATTAGTTGTGTTACAAAATATTTCATTTAACTGTTTTAATTAATAATATAACTTTTCTCTTCTTATACCTCTTCTTGTCAAGATGTTTGAAGGCTTTAACTGTGTTGAAAACTATGGTTACGNAAATCCTTTTTAGTCTGAAATCTGTATGCTAGATATTGAGTAAGGTGGTTTTATTGTTTTTTGTCACTTTAAATAATATTTCTGTTCATGTTAAAAACAAAATCAACTCTCTGTATAAATATATCAGGTGACCGTTAAGGCCCATGGGCCTCTTGTTTTATAAAAGGTTCTAAGTAAGTATATATATGATACATACCAAAAATAATCTTCTATAAAAGTAATGCTAAGATCTCAAACATATAGATTTGGAAGAAAAGTAGTGATGAATTAAATTAATCAAACATGACCCAAATGTGATGCCACAGATTTACTATTTTAGGTTAAAATCTATAATCAAATTCTGTAGTATAAAAAAATGGATAAAGGAACAGTCATCGCTTTATACTAAGAGTTCAGTCCTTATGTGAAAGAAGAACTAACACAGATAAAGAACATCATTCAAAAATTCATTAACGTTTGGCAGTCAAGATTATGTCCTTAAGTGAGTGAAATACACATTAAGGTTTTTCTAGGCATTTCAATGAGTGAAACATGGGGTTTGACTGATACTCTCGCTGGCCAATCAAAACTGATAATTAATATTTCAAAAAACTTACTCCATCTTAACATTTCTGAGATGGAATCTCAAGCATTCACACACATAAAAACACTTATAAGACCATATTGTCCATAATCTTTTATTCAGCCATGCAACCTAATCCAGTGTCCTACAGAAATAGAAGTTGAGCTGTTAAAATTAGCATTCAAATACATACATCACAGTATATAAAAAATCAGAAATAATCCAATGAATTTGAATCTTATTCTTTAATTGCAAAGTAATCAAGTCTTAAAGACAAAACAACATTTGTTCTGACAGCTTATACTTATGCAGGCAGGAGTGCAGTGTGCACTAACTTGATTTGGTTTGAGAAACAATTTGCTTAAGGAGACCTACAAATGAAAGATGTCAGTGTCCGTGCCTAGAGCTAGTTTATTTTAACTTTTTCCTGTGTCTTCCAATTTTGTGAGAGAGGTTTAATTATTGTGATGAGATTATTTTAATAACTATTTCTGATTACAGAATTCATACATAACCTCAGCTTGAAATGTCTGACTGAAATATTTCTTTAAGACTTATATTTAGCTTGTCTTTGAAAAATGTTTAATTTACGTCTTTTTTAGAATGTCACAATGACAAGCGAAGGCAGTTCCGATTATGCCCCATTGCTGGGGGAGGATTTGGTAGATCTACCGTCCCCATCCCCATCCCCATCGGCTGAGGCCCCACCAATAGCCAGACCACAGTTGGTGTGCACCTATATCATTGAAATTACACTGTCAATGTACATGGTCTCAAGTGTTCTCACCATCCCTATAAATCAGTTCTATGTGTACAACGAGGTCGCCAAATCATATGGAATTCCTAACTACATCCAAAATAAGGATGCCAGTATTTGTGATAAGAAGAATGACTCGGAGGCCGCAGACGTCTTCAATAACATTCAAAAAGAAGCATCAGAACAGCTCATGTACATGTCTTTTCTCAGTAGCTTTACAGCTGTCATTCCAACTTTCTTCCTTGGTTACATATCAGACAGGTTCGGGAGAAAGGTCTCATTTCTGATTACCTTAATAGGGCTATTTTTACACCAGCTTGTGTACATCATTGTGTTTTACCTTGAAGCCCCTCTGCCATACCTTTGCATTGGGTGTGCTCTGGAGGGTGTAACTGGTTACATTTCCTGTGCCTTGATGACAGCGTTTATCATGCTTGCGGATGTCACCTCACCTGGAAAGCAACGTGGGTTCAGGATAGCGTTAATGGAGGGAAGTCTGGCATCATCTGCAGCATTAGCAGTCATGGGAGGGGGGTTCTGGATCAAATACTCTGGTTTCCTTATCCCTATGCTGTGTTCTACTGCGCTTTGTGCGGTTACCATCCTCGTATGGCTAGTGGTGGTACCGGAAACAAGGCCATTCCGGGAGAACCACAGTCATCGTGGCATGAGTCTCAACAGTATCAAGAGGTGCTTTGTATTTTACTACGAAAAAACATCACAGAATAGAAGAGGTAAAATGTCCGTTGTTCTGGTCATTCTACTCACGGCAGCCACATGTTTGGTGTCAAAGAGCAATGTGGTGACTCTATTCCTGTTAGGTCAGCCATTTTGTTGGTCAGAGGTCCATATCTCTGTAGTGAGCTCACTTCAGATTCTCATCAACTGGATAGCAGGGATTACGTTTCTCCGGTTGATACAGCGTGTGATGCAAGATGTGAGCTTACTATCCTTCGGCTGTTTCATGGGGATGGTTGCCATGATTCCCTTAGCCCTTGCCCAGCAGAACTGGATGATCTATCTATGTAAGTACATTTTTTCACTGTATTTAATCTAAAGGTAAAGGGTACCCCTATACATTTTTCACTTGCTATATGTGGCCTTTGAATTGGACACTTGTTTTGATGTTGTGCTCATAAACACAATTCCTGTTATGGCAACATTGGTAAAGATTAGGCAAGCTTCGCTATGTAATGGTTCAGAGTTTGACCCCTGTAGTTTTCTGGATTTCTTTCTTTTTTATTTGTATTTTCAATACATGCAAATTTTGAACAACTAAAATTCTGTCCAAATTTAAAAGTGCATGGCAACATGTGATTTTAAAAAATGGTTATTTTGAAAAAGTCTGAGAGGAAAATTTCACCCTAGTAACAGTGGTAAATGATATCGTTCAACTTGTTAATACCTGTCACCTTTATGCTTAATAAAAAGACTAATCTGGATAACAATTGTGCCTGAGGCCATTACGTGTTTCATGTTTCTTGCTCCACTTGTGCATCCATTATGTAGGATGCCGATAGTGACTGAAAGTCAAAGGTCAGATTCACAAGGTCAATAAATGTTTTATTTTTTAAAGCATTAGAATATAAAGCTGTTACCCAAGGTTGTTACTTACCAAATATTGTAGGTAGAGGTATGTGACGTAATGTGTTTGTCCAAATGTACCGGTGTGAACTTTGCTCATGTTGCAATGCGACGTTAAGTCTTGACTTAGGACATGCATGCATGCTTAAATCTTGATGACCTTAAATACTTTGACGAGCAGCACACAATACTCCTCTTACATTCACTGCCTCATCGTAGATCTTGCACCTAGGTAAATGGGTCTTAAACTTTTACTTGTGAAAGACAGTTGCGATTAAATATCCATGACTTCCCATTCTCAACCTCTTTTATATGAGCCAGACAATCTGGGAACCAGGAGTCTGGTCCTTTTTGTTCCCAAGAATAAAAGAAATCCCAGGAAAGAGATCTGATGGTTCGTTTATTTTGACTCCCAGATTGACATAGAGGTCACAGGGGTTAATTTTCTTAAAAAAACTTTAAACAACTTCTTTTGAATAACCAAAAGGCCCATGATGTTGATATTTGGCCAGTAGCATGCTAGAATGAGGGGCTACCAAGTTTGTTCTTGAATTATTTTCAAAGTCACAAGTGTCAAATATATTAAAATCTTTAAACGACTTATTTTGAATAACCATAAGGCCTAGAATAGTGATATCTGGTCAGTAGCATGCTGGGATTAAGGGCTACCAATTCCAAGTTTGTGAATAACCTTGATTATATTCAAGGTTACAGGGGTCAAATTTGTTTAAAATCTTTTAACGACTTCTTCTGAATAAACATGAGGCCCAGAATGTTGATATTTAGCTTGTAGCATGCTTAGATGAAGGGCTATCAAGCTTTTTCATTTGAATGACCTTGACCCACTTTTGAGGTCACATTTACTCAAATATCTTGAATCATTTAAATGACCTTATTTCAATAAACAAAAGGATAGGGTGGTAATGTTTTGCAAGCTGCATCCTGAGATGAAGGGCTATAAAATGTGTTCAACATAATGACGTTGTTCGGCTTTAGCTTTATTTAAGATCACTTTTAAGGTTACAAGTGTGAGCTGTATACCAGGTGAGCGATGCAGGCCCATTGGGCATCTTGTTACTATTATTTATTGATGTATCACAGGGAATCATCTTGGGGCCCTTTGTGCCATTTGTTTAAAGTTAAATACATTTGCGTGTAATAGTTTTCAACAGAGGTCACAAAGTGGCATCTTGTAATCTGGGATTTTTGGGACTCAGATATTTGAGTTCTTCATGACTTTGAGAATCAACAACTTTTACAAAACCTACTACATTTCTGAGTCTCAGTAATGGGACTCGACGAAATTTACCTTATCCATTTCTGGGTCATCACAATGCAACAGGTTGATATCTACATCAGTAATTATATCATATATAAATAAAATGTTTGGTCATATTATAAATATAATATGACCAAGCTTATAATATGACCAAGCGTGACATCAAACAGTTTAGTATAAAAGATCTTAATCTATGTTTCTTCATTTTGAAAATCAATATGTAAACTGTATTTGCATACTTTGTATATAATATTTTTCTTTATTTGATTTCAGCATCCATTTGTTGAGGTTGTCTCCCCTTCCATAGAATGTTTTTTTGAGCGAGTGCATATAAAAACCTATTACATCAAATTAGGACAATGATTCCTATATTTTTCGTTTGGTTTTCAGATATGGTGATAGGCACATTTTCCGTTCTTGTTCTTCCAATTTCAAGATCTATCTTGTCTAAGATGGTTTCACCTGAAGAACAAGGTAAAGAAAATATATGTACACAAGTTGAACTTATGAATACCATGGCAATTAATATATAGCCGATTGGTAAATGTTGCTAAACTAGCTAGATAATTTGTTTACTTAGGTACTTAAGATATTGTCATATAAACTATCTATAACTCTGTATTAATCAGTTCACTATCATTTGTTATTGAATTTTATGGGATGACCAAGTCCTACCTAAGGTGTGACCATGGCCAGTACCTTAATTAACCATTTCTGTGTCGTCGCAATGAAAACCTTTGGAAGATGTCGTTTTTGTCATCAGATGACACCATGTATTAAGTGTAGGTGAGCACTTTGCATACAAAGCGTTATCTATTTTTAAGGGTTTGGAAACTAATATTTCTCCAAAATGAGGTAATTAAGAGAAAACAACCACTAGACTAGATTTTCGTATTTCAAATCTTGAAGTATGAGTCTTCATTTAACAGTTTCTGCTCTGCAAGTCTTGGTTTTGACATTTTTAGAATCTTAGATTTAAGTCAAGAACATTTTACTAAGATTATATGTATAGTTTAACAGGGATGTGTAGTCTACACATCCCTGAGTGTAACAAGAGAGGTAAAATGCACTGCCAGACTGGGATTCGAACCTGGGACCCACCAAACTCTAGACAGATGCTTGTTTTGACATTTTCAGAAACTTAGCCTCAAGTCAAGTTTTACTAACATTATATGTATAGTGTAACGGGAGAGGAAAAATGCACTGCCAGACCGGGATTATAACCTGGGACCAACCAAACTCTAGACAGATGCACTTCCAATTGAGCTACTCTGGTTGTCAGCAAAAAATCCAGTCCAGTTGTGCTACAATAATGAAAAAAGTCAGCAGTGAGAAAGATCCAACTAAAACTGTTACAATCTAGAATGAAACAGTCACTTACAGTAATTTTACTAATTATCATGCGTGAAATCTTTGCTGTTGTGTTGAAAAGAATGTTAACACGGTCACAAAAATTAACCTGCATACTGTATAATATATATATCAAATGCAAGGTCACTTTCTGGGTCTGTATTGATAAATCTGATAGTATTTTGTGTTTAGGGGCCTTATTTGCAGGGATAGCAGCCATGGAACACCTTGTGTCAGGCTGCGGTGTACTCTTGTTTGGAGAGATATACAAAGATACTGTGACATTCTTCCCCGGATTGGTTTTCTTTGTCATAGCAGGATTAATATTGCTTTCATTGATTCTGTCGGGGTAAGTACTTATAATATCATACTATAGTGAAACCATATATCATAGCTTGACAAAGACCAGTCGGGTCTTTAAACGTTGGACACATTTCATACATACATGTTTGTGTATAAAGTAAAACTCCAATATTACACATTTCCAAATAAATGAATCTTATTGAAGATACAGTGAAACCTCTCCAATCTGACACCCTGTGGGAAACAGTATATTACCTTGGTAAGATAAGACAGAATGCACAGGTCTTATTTCATGGTTTTCATAAGAAAGGGAATACAGCAAAATGTTATATTAGACAGAGTGTGAAACTAGGTTTGGGTTGAATGACTTAATTATAAGGTAATTATTAACATAGATTTGCAATTGGAATGTTCGAAATAAACACATTTTGCTGTACAAAATATGACAGGCCTTAATTGATTTTCAAAAAAACTCCTTCATAAATATGCATACTGTAGTGAAATGGAAGATGAGCTGGATCAACAATAGAGAATTTCCTCAATGCTCACTAACTAATGATATCTGAATATAATCATTTGAGCAGAAGAAAACAACTGTCTTCAATTGGATTTTGTGGATTTCATAATTGATCAAATATAATTAGTTGTGTGACCAACCAGTTTGCAAAATACATATTTGATCATTAGAACAGCACTGCTTACAGCAGCTCTGAAAAGGTCTCGTGTTAAAATGTGTCACATTTTCTCCAGTATTAATGTTTTTAATATTTTCAGTCAAATTTACACACATCCTTTTCATTTTATTCTCCCCATAAATGTTCTTTTATCTACAAGAAAACTTTCTTCATTGTATGTGAACAAAGACAAGAGGCAATTTTGTTTCACATTTTATTATCTAGCCTTGTAAAAAAACATTTGTGAGTCATTGTTCCATTGCTTTCTGTTTCAGCTGAAGTAGCAGGAATTGCAGAATTTTTATAAAGAGTTGTCTATCTTTATCTTCATAAAAACTTGTATTTACCATTTATTTCTTTGTTGTAGATTACTGCATGTATGGATTAAACGTGGGCATGGTAAGGAATTGGAAATCAGCGTTGTAAAAGAAAGCTAAATTATAGAACTTTAACAATTTTGTTAAGTAAACAGAGATCAGAATCCACATTTCTATATATACTTATTCATTTATTCACTCAATGTATACAGAAATAGAGGGAAGTGATCATTTAATGTGTGACACGGAACTTTAATGTGATGGTAGAGTTTTACTGATCTGTATCTCAGAGTTTTTACATAGTTTATATGGAATACTTGTTATTATATATAGATATATAGTTTGTATAGCGGTTCCTCAATAAGAGATGGTGGGTTATCATGTTTCCCTAACTTGATTTAGTTAATTATCAAATTGTTTAAAGGTACAATGTACAAGTTTTACAGAGTGTCTTTTACAATTTTAAAACTAACTAATGAGAGATGGATACACATGACAACCCACCACCATAAGATTGGGGACCGTTTTCTCCAGTCTCCCATAACATTCATCATATCATATCTAGAAAACAATATGTTTCCCTTGGAAATGCATCATTTTGTTGACGATTGTGGAAACAAATGCCATGAATCATGACATCACGATAGAAGATGATGGTGCCAAAGCATTGTTCGTGACATCATGATTATGACAAAGCCTGAGTTTCCTCTGGTCCTGACACCACAGACTTAGACATTTTGACAGATAGATGTCTGGAGTTACTAGGCCGAGTTTCCTCTGGTCCCGACACCACAGACCTAGACATTTTGACAGATAGATGTCTGGTGTGACATCTGTCAAAATGTCTAGGTCTGGTGTCGGTGTCGGCCAGAGGGAACTCGGGCTCGATTATGAGGTTGACCAATGAAATAACACCCTTGGTGTTTCCCACTAGTGGGAAGCTAAAAATGTTTACCAACTCCTATCTGGTTTAGAATTAAGTATCATGAAAATGTAACTTTCCTTTATTTATTGTTGTCCACCTCAAACAAGGTGAGATTGTCAGCACAACAGTCTAATCAACATGGTCTGTGGTATAGATTGTTGTTTACGGAATACCGTTTATAATGTGTATACATAATGATCTGAAATATTGTCCCTCCAAAATTTATTTAAACCATTTTTGATTTAGTGATTGATGCAAAGAATATATTTTCCACAAAATCCATAGATTTATTTTTCATGATTATTCTACGTTTGATAATGTTAATGCATGTTCACTTCTGAAGAGATTAGGTTGTCTGGAAAGGTTGAATTCATGGAGTCTGATTTTACAGCAATATGTATGTTTTCTATTTTTTTTCATAAATAAAATGTTTACTTCACACCAATAAATGTAAGACAGAGAGGCGAAAGTGACATTGTATAGTTTAAAGGAAACTTGTGAGTCTTTTGTTCTTCATGTCAACTTTGTAACAATTTCTTCCGACATAATAAAAGAAAAATAATTGTTGTAGGGGCCATCTTTGGTTGTCAACTTTCAAGATTATTAATCAAATGGAATTCTATTTTGTCGCAATAGTAATTGGCAGAAAAACATGCAAAGTCTTGTTTATTAGCTCACCTGGCCCGAAGGGCCAAGTGAACTTATGGCATGGTGCAGCATCCATCGTCCGTCCGGCATCCGTCCGGCGTCAACTTTTTACTTTAAACAACTTCTTCTCAGTAACCAAAAGGGCTAAGGCAATGATATTTGGCCAGAAACATACTGGGATGAAGGGCTAACAAGTTTGTTCAAATAAAGGACCTCCAACCACTTTCAAGGTCACGGGGTCAAATATGTTAAAATCTTTAAACAACTTCTTTTGAATAACCAAGAGGCCTAGGGTGATAAATATTTGACCAGTAACATGCTGGGATGAAGGGCTACCAAGTTTGTTCAAATAAATGACCTTGATTTATATTCAAGGTCACTGGGGTCAAATATGTTTAAAACCTTTCAACAACTTCTTCTGAATAACCAAGAGGCCTAGTGTGAAGATAGTTGGCCAGTACCATGCTGAAATGAAGGGCTACCAAGTTTGTTCAAATAAATGACCTTGATTTATATTCAAGGTCACAGGGGTCAAATATGTTAAAAACCTTTAAACGGCTTCTTCTGAATAACTGAGAGACCTAGGGTGGTGATATTTGGCCAGTTACATGCTGAAATGAAGGGCTACCAAGAATGTTCAAATAAATGACCTTGGTTTATATTCAAGGTCACTGGGGTCAAATATGTTTAAAACCTTTAACAACTTCTTCTAAATAACCAAGAGGCCTAGGGTGATGATATTTGGCCAGAAACATGTTGGGATGAAGGGCTACCAAGTTTTTTCAAATAAATGACCTTGATTTATATTCAAGGTCACTGGGGTCAAATATCTTTAAAACTTTTAAACGACTTCTTCTGAATAACTGAGAGGCCTAGGGTGATATTTGGCAAGTAACATGCTTGGATGAAGGGCTACCATGTTTGTTCAAATAAATCACCTTGATTTATATTAAAGGTCACTGGGGTCAAATATCTTTAAAACCTTTAAACGACTTCTTCTAAATAACCAAGAGGCCTAGGGTAATGATATTTGGTCAGTAACATGCTAGGATGAAGGGCTACCAAGTTTGTTCAAATAAATGACCTTGATTTATATTCAAGGTCACTGGGGTCAAATATGTTTAAAACCTTTAAACGACGTCTTCCAAATAGCCAAGAGGCTTAGGGTGATGATATTTGGCCAGTAACATGCTGGAATGAAGGGCTACCGAGTTTGTTCAAATGAATGACCTTTGCCCATTTTTTGTGAATTACTTTAAACTTTAAGTCAAAACGCCAATATTTTTTGCCTGTAGCTTTACTTTAGTCCTCTTTTTAGGTTACAATTATGAGATTAATACCAGGTGGTGATGCAGGCCCATTGGGCCTCTTGTTTAATCAGACATATGTTCACTTGTGATACAATCAATACATACTTATAGAAAATGTTTTCTGATACAGGACCTAGAGGTGCTCTTCTTCAGACTCAAATATAGGATAAACTGGAATTCTTTTTTATTGTTATATTGAATTAAAACAAAAACAAAACAAAAAAAGCAAAGTTTTGTCCTATTAATCAGAAATGTGTTTAAGTGTGATGATATAAATTACATACTAAAAGTACCAGATAGTTTTTTAGTTCACCTGGCCCAAAGGGCCAAGTGAGCTTATGCCATGGCGCAGCGTCCGGCAGCTTTTTCCTTTAAAACGCTACTAGTCCTGAACGGCTCCAAAGGATTTTGACCAAATTTGGTCTGGAGCATCATTGGCCAAAGGGTTCTCAGTTTTGTATAAACGGAGGTTATGGTCCACCTGGGGCGGAGGGGCGGGCCAAATAGGAGGAAAATAGGTTAATCTTTAAAAAATCTTCTTTTCAACCAATAGAAGGATTTTGACCAAATTTGTTCTAGAGCATCTTTGGACAAAGCAAATTCATCTTCTTCTGTAGTAATGGAGGATTTGTTCCATATTTGGTCTTGAAGCATCCTTTTGTGAAGGTGAATCAATTTTGTATAAACCTTGGGTCTGGCCCCCCAGGGGCCTGAGGGGTGGGGCTCAATAAGGGAAATACAGCAAATTCTTTAAAATCCATCCTCTTCTGTAGGAATGAAAGGATTTGTTCCATATTTTGTCTGAAGCATCCTTGGGTGAAGAGGAACCAAGTTTGTTTAAACAGAGGGTGTTGCCCCTCTGGGGCGGAGAGGGAGGGCCCAATAGGAGAGGTAGAGGATTTTTTTTCTCTTACTATACAAGTGAAGGGATTTAAACCAAATGCAGTTTGAAGCATGCTTAGGGACAAAAGAATCAATTTTGTATTTTGGGCTGATGGGTGGGGCCAATTAGTGGAAATAGAGGAAAACATTAAAGAACCCTTTTCCTTTTGTACCGATAAAGGGATTTTGACCAAATTTGGTCTGGAGCATCATTGGTCAAAGGGTTCTAAGTTTTGTATAAACAGATGGTATGGCCCCCCTCATGGCAGAGGGGCGGGGCCAAATAGGGGGGAAAATAGTTAAATCTTTAAAATTCTTCTTCTCAACCAAATGAAGGCTTTTGACCAAATTTGTTCTAGAGCATCACCTCAAGTTTGTATAAACGGAGGGTGTGGCCCCTCTGGGGGCATAGGGGCAGGGCCCAATAGGGGAAATAGAGGATTTTTTTTCTCCTATTATACAATTGAAGGGTTATAAACGAAATGCAGTCTGAAGCATGCTTAGGGACAAAAAAAATCAATTTTGTATAAACTGAGGTGGGTGGACCCCCTTCTTTGGTGTAGATGGGTGGGGCCCATTAGGGGAAATAGAGGAAAACATTTAAGAAATCCTTTTCCTTCTGTACCGTTGAAGAGATTTTAACCAAACTTGTTCTAGAGAATATTTGGGCAAAGGGAATTTAATATTTATAAATGAAAGATGTCCCCCCACCCCCACCCCCAGGGGTAGAGGAGCGGGGCCCTATAGGGGAAATAGAGAAAAATATTTTCCCTTCTGTACAAATGAAGAGATTTAAGCCAAATGTGGTCTGAAGGATGCTTAGGGGGAAAAAACTCAATTTGTTTAATTTGCATATAAAGATATATGTGAGGCCCAATAGGGGAAATAGAGGAAAATTGGGACATAGCATGGAACCCCATTTTCTTGGTGTTTTCCCCACCAAAACAGATTTATATGTAGTTCTTCTTGCAACTTTGTTTCTTCTACTCCTTTTATAAACCTGTATGGTACTCAGCAGGTTTTAAATTAAAAAATAGAATACCAGGCCCCTGGGCCTCTTGTTCTGATACAGGGCCTGAACGTCCTCTTTGTCAGACTCTGCCCTATACGCTTCCCATATATTCATATATCCTGGACACATTGATTCTTAAAACCTAACCACTAATTGTATATGTTTTTTGTTGGTTGACACCCAGTTGAGGGTCTGGTTTAACATGTATTTGTAAGGAAATGTCATGTATTTAATCAATATATTATGTACTGTATAAATATATGGTTGATAAACAATTGCAAAAATAATGTTACCCCAGGAATTAATTTTGGGTGTTGCCCAAATTTTAAACTCAGAGAAAGACTCAAAAAAACTAATAAATTATAACTGTCATGTCGATTGGACATGTATACTACTTTTCAAGCACCAAACAATATTCTTAACTTCATTATTTCTGAGATTGTGACAATTATAATTTACCTGCCGAGCAGAGGGAGGCGATTTTTTTTTCTGAAGATGTAATACTAAACTTGTTCAAGCACTGCTAAGCGTAGAAAGCTAAAATTTATCGGACATTATTTCCATTGTCAAACAGATCGAATAAGGCATAGCATAGTTTTCTGAGTTTGCGGGATTATTCCAGGTTATATTTTATAACATATAGTATTTATATATTTTATTATGGCCGAGCGAAGCAACTGTTAACACATTCTCTGAAATAATGGTAAAAGTGTTGGTTTTTGGTTAAAATGCTGTAGTTTGTGTCATGCCTTTCATGTGCATGTAGTTTAGGCTAGCATTTTGGGGATTAAATATTGATTTATTTTGTCATAAATATGAATTATGATTTGACTGTTTGTCTTTTATTGTGAATTTGTATGCATGCATATGTACAAGGGCAACACCTGTTGAAAAGGATATATTGCATGCCAGGCTGTTACATGCTAACATTGGTTATTATTCTCCTGATAATGTGATGCTAAGGTGGGTGCTTTATTGTCT